TGAGTTGGCGAAAATGTTTGTCGCATGAAGCTCATGGTTCTATCTTTTCCTCGAAACCAAGCTATCTGTGCTGTTTCGCTTTTGAAGGAAGAAGTGTGGTTTTTGCGAGGTAGAATGGCCAAAAGTAGATTCTATGCAAGTTTCTGCATAATCATTGACACCCAGAAACTTCTGGCGAAAATATCTTGCTACCTGAAGCCATAATTCTTTCTTCCAGAAGACTAGGGCCAGAAGTGTGGTTTTCGAGTTTTGTGGTTTCTGAGAAGAGGGGTTAAACATCTTAGCAAAAATGTCTTGTCGGATGAAGCTCATGGGTCTGCCCCTCCCTCGCGAGCACTTTGTGCTTTTTTACTTTTAGAGGCAGAAATATGGTTTTTGCAAAGTAGAAAGGCCAGAAGTAAATTTCAAGCAAGTTTCTATATGAGTAAACACTGACACCCAGAAATTTTCAGTGAAAGTATCTTGCTGGCTGAGCTTATGAGTCTTCCCCCCGAGACCAAGAGGGCCAAAAGTAAATTTCAAGCAAGTTCTATATAATCGTTGACACAGAGAAACTCCTGGCGAAAATATCTTGCTGCCTGAGGCCATAATTCTTTCTTCCCTCAAGACCAGGTCCCTGTCTTTTTTTTGCTTTTAGAACCAGGTGTGGTTTTCGAGTTTGTGGTTTTTGCGAAGTTTGGGGGCCAAAAGTTTCAGTGAAAATGTCCTATCGGATGAAGCTCATAGGTCTGTCCATCCCCAGAGGCCACTTTTCTGCTTTCAGAGGCAGAAGTATGGTTTTTGCAAAGTGGAAGAGACAGAAGTAAATTTCAAGGAACTTTCTGTATAATTAGATATTGACTCGTAGAAACTCTTAGCGGAAATGTCTTGCCGCCTCAGTTTGTAAGCCTTTACTTCTTTGAAGACCAGGCTCTTTGTGCTTTTCTGATTTTAGGGGCAGAAGTAGGATTTTAAGAGGTAAAGGCGGGTCAAAGTGGATCTATAACAACTTTAGGTAAATTTACCGTCTTCGTCAAATCCGAGTGTGATTATGGAATTCTCAGCATGCTCACTTACCCTCGGACCGGTGCCATCTCAGCCTCGTAGCTTCAGCTTTGAAAAAAAGATAAAATCAATAAAGTAATGGGTATTTTCAAAAACGGTTACTTCTTCGCAGTAAGCGTGCTCACATACAGCTTTGTGCCAAAAACCAGCCGTGTAGCTCTAATTTTACAAAGAATAGAAAGATCGACAGAAATAATATGTACTTTCAAGAACACTTATTACAATCGTAATAGGCATGCTCGCTTTTCCCATGCGCCAAATCCCAGTTCCGCAGCTTAAATTTGTAAAATAAGAACGTGTTCGTGGGCAGCATGCTCAATTACTAGCCTGTACCAACCCCCAGCGCCATGGTTCAAACATTGCAAAAAAATTGATTAAACCAATAGAAGTAATGGGTATTTTCTGAACTGGTTATCATACTCGTAATCAGCATGCTCACTTGCTCCCATGTGCCAACTCTCAGCGCCGTAGCTCGAACTTTACAAAAAATCGATAAAATGATAAAAGTAATGGGCATTTTTGAAAATGGTTATCATATAATCAGCACGTTCCCCTTGTGCCAACTCTCAGCGCCGTAGCTCGAACTTTGCAAAAAATCGATAAAAGATAAAAATAATTGATAATTCTACCCCTGTGCCAACTCTCAGCCCCGTAGCTTGAACTTTGTAAAAAAAAATCGACAAATGATAAAAGTAGTTGATAGTTCTAAAACTAATATTGTATTCGTAATTAGACTCGATTACCCCCCTTTGCCAAATCCAGCCCCTTATTCAAAATTTGCAAAAAAATCGATAAAGTGATGAAAGTAATGGGCATTTTGAAAATGGTTATCATATGCGTAATCAGCATGCTCGATTACCCCCTGTGCCAACTCCCAGCCGATTACCCAGCTTGAACTTTGCAAAAAAATCGACGAAATTATAAAAGTAACTGATAATTCTAAAAACTAATACTGTATTCGTAATCAGCATGTTCGCTTACCCCCTTGTGCCAACTCCGAGCCCCGTAATTCAAAATTTGCAGATAATCGATAAATTTGGTGGAAGTAGTAACAAGTTTCCATACTGGAAAACGACAGACACGAAAACACCATCGACCAGAAAAACACCATCGAAGACATACAGACAGCATCCCAGCGTACAGACAAGTACACCATTCGGTTTTATATATATATACTAGCGACCCTAGGGTCGCTAGCAAGTGGGTTGGGGCAGATACGTTGATACATACGTTCGGGAGCCATTGTAAATAGGTTAGAACTCATTTCATTTTCTGAACGACTTGCGAGTTATAAATAATATTAGTTTGACTAATAGATAAGTTCGGTTACTTGCAAATTCGAAATTCTTCGACAATTCAGAAGCAGCTATTCCGTTAAGGTTTATTGCGAAGAGGTAGCTTCAGCCTTCTACTCTTCTTCTACTCTTACATATCATTTAGTTAAAAAATTTTATCATCGAAAAATGACAGTTATGCGCTTACTCAGATAATCGCCGGGGGCAGGCGGTCCGCAAACTCGCGCTTTTCTGCAGGCGGTCAGCAGGATTTCGGGGCGTGGCCAAATCTTCAGCGGGCGGTATTTGCGTTTTCTGCAAGCGGGCATCAATACAAAATTTTCTGCAAGCGCTCGTCAAACAATCTCTTTCAGCGAGCGCTGGCCAAACTTTCAGCAGGCGCTCAGACTCTTTTTACGCAGTTTCGGGCGTACGCCGAGAAAAGATGAGACTCTATGTGGCAGAGGTGCCATCGATGGTTTTATTACCCATATAATAAGCAAGCGAATCTCAGGACTTCAAGCTGGAGGATAGGGGTTTTGGGTGTATATAGGCACAATTAGTCTATTAGGGAAAATAGGCGGGATTTTTTCCAATTTTTGTGTTTTCATTAAAAATTCGCCAAAATTCAAGTTCCTTACGTTTTCCTGCCTCGCAATTAGAAAACTTGGACAAATCGGCGTCTAAATTGTGAGAAGAGGATACGCGGGACCATTCTGAAGGAAGGTTGTGTGGTTATGCGTCTTTTCAAAGGGGACTCATCTTTGCAGAATACCTGTGTGCGACGCCCCGCCCCCAAAATTTTTTGAAACGGAAAAAAGATATGCTCAAATGTTATAGAAGAAATTTAAAAAATGCGACTGCCATTTCTGATGAAGGTCTACCTAAGCTGATTTTTTGGTGAATTATGGATGATTTTTACAAAATCGATTTTTTCAGAAATTAGCAAAAAGTCGGTTTTTCAGATTTCGGGTTACGGTAAAGTTGAGGGTCTGCAATTTTGCACACATACATCTAGTCTGTGCCTGACAACGCCATAATTTTTTCAGAATTTTAGGATCACTCTGGAGCGAGTTATGAAAAACCCGGCTCAAGACCAGGCCATAACTCGAGAGTGGGCGGGGCTAAGGGGGCGGGGCTAATACCAAAAGATTCTCCAGGTCAAACTGGTCCGGGGGGAATTTGGCCCGAGGGGCAGGGGTTGATGCGGGGCCCGGAACGGCGGGGTAAAAATTCCTGGTTGAGCCTATTCAATTTTCCAGTGGGTCTCAGCCAATAAATAAGAGACTTTGCAATATATTGCATCGTCGTGCAATATATTGCACAGCGTATAATGGTGAATTTTCGCTGGTCAACGCGAATACATTGGGAGTGAAAAAATCGCTTTTTATCGAGTAAGTGACGAACCAAAATTTCGAGGAATTTTCAAAAATTCGGAAAAAATTGGGGAATGCTGGGGGCATAAGATAAAAGATATTTAAACATGTTAGGGCCTTAGTTGAGGTACTTGAGGTCTTTTAAAGAATGTGTGAAGTAGATTTTGAGGTTTTGAATGCATGTATGTTCCTAGAATCTAAAAAATTTTAGGATTTTTTAAGAAGGTCTAGATTAATAGATGAGCGTCGGGGAGCTAAGGTAAAAGGGTTTAAGAGTTACTAAGTCTAAATTAAGACATACAGAACTTTTTGTAGATTAGTAGGCTTTTAACACCAGAATGATTACGGGCGTTTAGAAACTTTTCCGTTCCGAAAGGCGTTCCGAATGTTTGAAAGGGATTGATAGTGTGAAACAAGTTTTGGAACTAACAAGGGAACCATGTCGAGTCGAAGTGGCCTTTCCAGATTAGACCCATACTGCTTTGAAGAGCATTAATTGATAATTCCAAATCTGCTTTCCAGATCTGCCAAGCGTCTCTGGATGCCGAGTTATGCTCGTTTTTCAGGTCGAAAAATTGAACGCAAAACTGAAGCAAAATCGCCCAAATTTGCTCAAATGGTCCAGTGTCAAATATCAGAGCTGTTTATGCAATGGATACATTTTCTTTAATATGCTAATACTTAACACTGCTTTATCTGAGCGCTGGAACGATTGTAACAATCAATTTTACCTAAATTCTGCATTCATTTTTTGTCCCGAAGAACGGTCATAACTCGGCGTCCAGAGGCGCTTGGCAGATTTGGAAGGCAGATTTGGAATTGCCGCTTAATACTCTTCAAAGCAGTATGGGTCTCATTTGGAAAGGCCACTTCGACTCGACACGGTTCCCTTGTAAGTTTCATTAAGTAAGGCCCTCGAAGGGTTTCTGCGTCATTCAATTTGCATAACGTTGTTTGAGTTTTATGATACAGCACCGATGACCGATGTTACTACTTTTGATATGCTGCATTTTTGGATGAAGTGCGAGCTTTACTGCATGTAGTTGAGACGAAATGTGCTGAAACGTTAATTATTTGTTGTTTGATCGCATATTGCAATAAAGGATTTCAATTCCAACCCGAAGCTTGATATGAGATCAGATGAGGTAGATATGAAAGTGAGATAAATTGCAGTTTGGTACACGTATGACACAGTTGCAGTTTGATACACGTATGACACACTAGAGACAGCTATATGATACAAAATGGGAGACTGCTGCATGATACAAACAAGGATTCGGTACTGGTTGCAAGGTACACGTACTTATTATCCATCTTGAGATGCAATGATTTGTTGATGTGTAAGTTTAGGCTTACAGCGTATCGTATTCCACGGCTCTATTGTTGGCAATGGAAAGTGACGAGTAAGTGGACCAGCTGATAGTAGCTTCAAGTGCAACGGCATTTCATCCGCTCTGGCTTCCGCCTGACGTTCCTACAAGCGTAAATAATATACAGAAGTCCTTCGCAAACTATGCATACAATCCAACATACCACTGCGTAAATTTCGTCGCCTACGACGGCTACGCAGCAACCGTAACGATGACCGCTTTCCTCAAGATGGCGTGCGCCTAACAGGATAACTAGCGGTTGTGGATCATTCTGCTTTTGGTACAGAATAAGAACAACCGATTCCATGCGCTTAAAAGCAGCTTCCGTCGCTATTTGTAGCAACTGTGCCAAGGGAGATGCGACCTTTACCAAGAACATGGCAGGGTCCGGAAACACATCCTGAATACATCGATGTAATTTTACATCCAGCCCTGAGTTTAAGTGCATACTTACTCTATTAGTGAAAACGGTACGCCTGCTCCTTGCAAATGCTACTCCTGGATCGGCAACAGGAGTACTTTCCAGCAACAATCCTACTGCGCGTGCTTTCTGTGTCACCAAAAATAGAAGTTCTCCAATGTCGAAATCAGCCTTTCATGTAAGCTGAGATCCTCTTCTGAGAGAGACCGCTCAAAATTCCATACTCTCTGGACATGGATGCTTTGTCTTGCCGGTTGTAGAAATGAAGACGAAGCTGTGTGGATTAGTGTGCATACAAAAACTATTAATGGAATAAAATATATAAATAACGGAATATTCACCTTCTGTTGCAACCGGATCGCATACGTGACAGATGCACGGAAAATTTTTCGGAGAATTGGGCTTGCTTGGATCTCTTTCCCTTACAGCATAGTTCCACAATAGCTGTTCACCAGCCTGTAAGATGTGCATTGTGCAAAATTTTCAACATGCATGAAATGAATTTGCTTAAAGTTACCTGAATATCGCGACTAGCTATCAAACAATGCGCCCATCGAACTCGGCATTTACCAAGGTACATGCACTTCATATTTAGGTTGGCGTGCTCAATTGATTGGTTTATGAGCCGCCCAAGCGTTACTGTCGCTTTGTACGAGTCGCAGTGAGCAAGTACGATGTAATTGCAGTCGCTTCCTTTCACTCCCATCCAATATTTGGCAACTTTTTGGCGTTGCTCTTCATCAAGTTCCTTATTGTAAGGCTTCAAAACGTCTTCCGACAATCCACGGTAACCACTAAACACAAGCGCTAACACTATTATTTAGCTTTTTTACCTCATCATACGCTAAGGTCCTACTTCAAGTGAATTCAAAAATAGAGGAAAGGATTTCTTAGCGATAATCAGCAACAGCCATTCCTTTAGCGATGTCTACCTTAGCGAAAACACCTCGTCCTTTGATCGTAGGCATTTCTCTGACTTCCAGCCATGGAAAGTCCTTAAATATGTTGACAATTACAACAACCGCTTTGATTTTTGAGATACCCACCTGTACAGGCTGTGCATGACATTTATGTATAAAGTTGCTTAGCTGCCAAACGTTCTCGACTTCTGTCAATCCACCCGTATAAGATGTACTATTGAGAAGCTGTAAGTGCCGGCTCGGATCCATGGGCCCAAACCGCTTTTCAAGATCGGCAAGTAAGCTAGCGGGAACAGCTGATTTACGGACGACATGCACTCTTCTACGTACAGCCATTGTTATCAAGTCACTCAATATGAGTTCTGCATTTGCTGTGCAAGCTTCTGATTTCTGTCTTTTGAAATGAAATTTCAGCTTATACACTGGAATTTTTTCGACTGCTTCCTGTTCATCGACAATGTCAATATGTTGTACTGACGTTCCTTCACCACTACTGCTGCCTATCGGATGTTGCTCAAACTGTTTGAGTGGTAAAGGCGACGATGCTTGTGACTCCAACGCTGATGCTTGCGGCTCTAGCGCTCCTATGTCACCTTGTTCCATGACAATCTCCTCCAAAGTTAAGCTCGAATCTTCAGTTGTATCTACATGCATAGTGTGAGGTAGAAGTAAATTTTTATGACACAAGTGTCTTACCCGCTTTCACTGGGGACGACACTCTCGGGCGTTTTCTTGGCGTTTCCTCACCTTCCGTTCGTTGTAATCGTCGTCGAAACATATCTGAAGTTAAAAAAAATATAAATATATATATGTGTAGTTTTTGCAAAGCTTCATGCAGGTGCGTGTGATAAAAATGTATAAAAAAATACCAGAACGAGAAAAAGGCCTGGCACTGTCGTTTCCGTCATTTCCTTCATTTTCGTCGTCTCCATCATCCTCTCCCTCCTCGTCATCATCATCTTCTTCTCCTCTTCCCTCTTCGCTCACATTTTTGTCAACTGGTATTTCATCGTAATCATCCATTTCTAAATCCTCTTCTTCTAGATCGGCTAAGTGTTTACGTCGTTCCAAACTGAATTAAATCGATCAACACAGTGTGATAATAACGAAGAGCTTATACAATTGTTTACTTTGCAAGCTTGAACATCCTTTTCACTTCCCGCACTGTTCGCGGTTCCTGGCCGCTTCCTCTTCTCCTAATAAGCGCACCTTCATATATCCATAAGCGCAACTTTGCTTGTTTTGTGTAACGTAGTTTGCTGCCTGCGTCTCTTGTGTGTGACCTATTAAAAAAAAATAGATCACTGAATGCAATGCAACTTGTGCTAGCAAAGCGCAACTTTCACATACCTGCCGTGTATGCACAGTCTTTATCTGATCCTAGCAATTTGTCCAACCTTCGTTGAAAAGCGTCATCGTATTGCAAGTCTGCTATAGCGTGCCTTGACTAAAACACATAATAATTTAGACTTTAGGGCGGCAATCGTAAAAAACGTACCACGTTATAAGAGAGATTTAATTTTCCAAATCCACTGTCCCGCAAGAACTGTTTCATTATATGCGGGACAGTCACTTGGTGAACGCGTTTTCCTCCATACTGAAGGAAAAAGGGAGCAAGTGGTTCTTTCATTCCTTGGAGCTTATTCTTCGCAATCACACTATAATATGCAACTTTGATAATAAGAGAAAACGCATTTCTTATGTCTTACAAATCTCGCAATTTTGTATAGTACGTCAGCCATTTTTTCGACTATGCATCTAGCACGAAATATTGACCATAATTTTTTTTTTATCCTTGCATTTTCCCGTCACGCGGGGTCTGCCGCTCTCGTTAGTCTTCTCCATTCTTCTCGGTTCAAGGCTTGGTCTTCACTTATTTCAAGCTCTCTCATATCTGCTTTGACCTTATCCAGCCATCGCATCTTAGGTCGTCCTCTCGGCCTCTTTCCTGGCACATCCACTGATAGGGCCAGTCTCGTGATGTGGTCTTCTTCTCTTCGCCTCACATGTCCATACCATCGGAGACGTCTTTCTTGAATTTTCTTCACGATTGGTGTGACCTTCATTACGCTTCGTATCGTATCATTCGGAATTCGGTCTAGCATCGTCACTCCTGCTGTCCATCTCAACATTCGCGTCTCCATTACGCTAATCTTTCTCTCGTCGTCGCGCGTACATGGCCAGCATTCGCTACCATATAGTGCCGTTGGTCGTATCACTGTACGGTATATCACGGACTTCAGCTTTCTTGGCATTCGTCTATCGCATAGGACTCCTGTGATACTTCTCCACTTCATCCATGCTGCATTGACCCTGCTACATATCTCGTCGTGGAGGCTGCCATCTGCGGAGATACGGCTTCCCAGATACTTGAAGGAGGTCGTCTTTTTGAGTAACGTGCTTCCGATCTGGATAGTCCCTGCTGTCTGTGGTCCCAGTTCCATATACTCTGTCTTCGCCGTGTTCAGCTTTAATCCATGTATCTCTAATTGGTCTTTCCATCTTTGCACTTGCATCTGGAGCTCTGTCCTGCTTCTTGCCAGTAGGAGGACATCATCTGCGTACATGAGTGTCCATGGTGGTTGTTGTATGAAGCCGTCGACTACTGCATCCATGACTGTGATGAATAGGAGCGGTGACAGTACAGAGCCTTGATGTACTCCGGCACGTATTTGGAATTCTTTCGATGGTCCCGCTGCTGTCTGTACGTGGCTGGTCGCATTCTTGTAGATCATCTTCGTCCAGTGCACGTATTCTTCTGGCACTTTGTGCTTTCGGAGTGCCCACCATATGATGTCGTGTGGTAACCTATCGAATGCCTTCTCCAGATCGAGGAACGCTGCATGCAGTTCACATTGCTTCTCCCTGCTTCTTTCTACCATTATTCTGGCGGCGTGGATTGCGTCTGTTGTGCTACAGCCCTTCACGAATCCGCACTGATTGGGAGCCAGTTCTATGATGCTTCGGAGTCTCGTTTCTAGTATTCGTTCGAAGATCTTCAGCGTGTGACTCATCAGACGTATGGGACGGTACGTGGAGCAATCCGCTATGTCGCCTTTCTTCTTCCATACTGGAATCGTCGTACTTCTGGACCAGTCGCTCGGCATCTTTTTGAGTTCGATTATCTGGTTGAGAAGCTGTGTTAGCCAAGTGACTCCGGCTTGTCCGCACTTCTTCCAGAATTCGCTGGAGATGTCGTCTGGGCCTGTTGCCTTGCCATTCTTCGTCTTCGTTATGGCATTGCGAACTTCCTCTTCTGTGATGTTTTCTACCGGTCCTTGTACCATCTCAGCCACTATGGTAGATGTCTCTTCGTAACTTGTAGATGACATTTCCTCGAAGTGTGCTCGCCATCGTTCAGTTATCTCTTGTGGCCTTCTCAGAACTCTTCCTTGTTCGTCTTTGATATTGTAGAAGTGAGACATGTCTTCTGCGGCTTTTGCTCTTCTTCTTGCGATTCGGTAGATATCTCGCTCGCCTTCTCGAGTATGCAGCTTCTTGTAGAATTCTGTCATGTAAGCTTCCTTCGCTTCTCTAACGCTCTTCTTTGTTGCACGTTTTGCATCTACATATCTTTGATGGTCGTCTTCTGATCTTGTCTTCTTCCACAACTGGTACGCCATCTTCTTTTGCTTGATCACAGCTTGAACGGACTCGTTCCACCACCAGGTTTCTTTATCTAGTCTTGGTCTTCCCGGTTTCGTAAGCCCCAGTAGATTGCCTGCCATCTGATGAACGTTATTCTTCAGATTCGTCCAGGAACGCTCCGGATCGTTTTCTAGAACTGGTAGAGCTGACTCCATTACCGCCTTCGTTCGATGGTCGTCCTTCAGCTTCCACCACTTGATTCGTATCCTGTTCTCCGTCACTGCTTTCTTTCGATTCTTTACTGGGATATTCAGATCCAGAATCAGTGGCCGATGTTGTGGTATGCATTCCTCACTGGGGATCACTTTGGTGTTCTTCACATACTTGAGCTCCCTCAGTCGTACTACCCAGAAGTCTATTTGTGACTTTCGGTTTCCGCTAGCATACGTTACGAGGTGATTGCTCTTCTTAATGAAGTACGTGTTTGTCAACGCCAAGTCGTGAGCAGAAGCGAACTCCAGAATACGCTCGCCTTCTTCGTTGCGGATTCCATACCCGTGATTTCCGTGACACCTACTTGCACTACTTCTTTGTTCACCGACGTGGCCGTTAAGATCTGCTCCAATTAGCAGCGTCTCTTCTGAAGGTATACATCTGATGTAGTCATCAAGCTCTTGCCAGAATCCATCTTTCTCTTCTTCCGTACAGCCTGCTTGTGGGGCATAGGCGGTAACTATTCGAAGGATTCGTTCACCCACATCTAACCTGATGCTCATTAGCCGGTCACTCAATCGATCTACACTTGTTATACTATCTCTCAACCGTTCGGAGATGACTATTCCGACGCCGTTTCTTTTTCTGCTTGTTCCTTTGAATAGAAGCTTGAAGCCGTCTCCTATATCGCGTGACTTCTCACCCTTCCATCTGGTCTCTTGGATGCAGGCGATGTCCACTTTACGTCTTCCAAGAAGATCTGCCAGTTCTCGATGTCGCCCTGTAAGAGATCCGACGTTGATGGTGGCCAGTCGAAGAGGAGAGAACTTGAATCGTTGTCGATGATGAGCTAGCTTCTTCGGCCGTCCCCGCTCATCTTGTTGGGACGGTAACCCTCGCATACTGTTCGCATTTGTCGGGCTCAAATGCGCGTCGCCTCCGGGGAACGCCCTAGCTTTTAATCGAGAATCCTAATGAAACATAAAAGAGCATTGTGATGCGACGGGGTGTCTTCTTCAGCCGGCTTGTCGCTTGCTTCTCTGGGATCAGCAGCCTGACGCTGGATTCGTGGGCAGAGCTGTTTTTGCCAAAGAAATTAGGCCCGCCGCGGAACCGAACCTGTGACCTTCCTCGCCGTAGTCAAGGGCACTAACCTCTCGGCCAGCTCTGCCCGAAATATTGACCATAATATGGTTGCTTATATTGTGCAGCCTTAGTTCCACCCTTTGGTATAGGATAGCTGCCAATCTAAAATACCTTTTGATTATGGATATAGCAAACAATATAAGCTTCGCTTACCCATAATATCTCTTCCCCATCGCCATAGCGCAATGAAAAAGGTTGCAGCCCTGTACGATCTGCAACAGGAATGGCCTCTTCTTGCTCAGACGGGTAAATACTACCGTACACCATTTTATATATACACTCATTCCTGCTTGTGTTGCAATGAATGATGTAGCACCAGAATGCTCTAAAATCAATGTTACACGAGAATCAAGCACTATGCAAAATAAGTGCTATAAGACAAACCCCATTATATAGTTATACTGGGCTGGTTGCAATGCACCCTTTCGCTCAAAAATCTTCATCAGCTTTTCGATGCTTTCTTCCACTCCTTTATGTTCAACAACAGCTCTTGCAACACAATAGAGCTCACCTTTCTGAATAAAATAAGTGAAAAGTGAAATACTGTTAGAAATTTACGCAACTCAACCTACCTGCTTTTCGCTGGGTACGATACCCTGAAATGATGATGCTCGCTTTTCCTCAATATTAAGCTTAGCTATGTAATTTAGACACTTTTTCCTTCCACGTTCCAAAACCTCAAGACGTTCACGGCCTGCTCTTAAAAGCGGTATATTTTTGTGAAAAACCGATTACGAAATGCTCTAAGATTTAATTATATAGAATGTAATCACTCACTTGCTTCGATTCCTTGCTCGATAAACTTACTGAATGCAATAAGAGCTTTGATTATGCTTTTCCGACAACCCACACTGACTCCTTCTGCTTTCAAACGCCTCATATACGCTTGTACAATTTCGCATGAATAGATCGCGTCGTCGATTGTTACTGTTTCGTTTATTCTGTAATTTAAAAGCTACAAGATTTTCAATTGTAGTGTAGCACATGACATACCGTTGTCGCGCCCTCATAACTACAAGCATAAATCGATTTATAAGGAGATGTAGCCCCAAGTTCCATTCTTCAGTGCATTGCCTTTTCTCGCAGATGTATCAGGCTAAACAGCAGTTGGAATAAACATGTTAAACGGTGTTTACGTGCGGAAACACAGAGAATCTTGAGACCTTACCAGCTCTTCAGAAATGTACTCTTCAAATTCTTTCAGCAGTGGATGCGCCCTTCCATTTAATTTACGATAGTATTTTATCCCAGCATCCACATTCCCTTGCCATTCTTTAATGTTGAAATACGGCCATAATATGGTTATTGTAAGTATATTATGACTAAGTCACTGCTTACTGTGCTTGCGCTTTACTGGAACAGTATATTCTTCTACGTAATAATCTGGTACTGCTTGTTCATCCAATTCATAAGAAAACATAAGATCGAGATTAGGCGGAGCCTTGAACACTTCTGCCACTTGAGATCCACCTATGTTGCAAGTAATTATAAATGTGTAACTATGTTTTCATTGATAGCTTTAACACGTTCATACCTGTGAAGCTTTTGTCGCCAAAACATGTGTATAGTCGTGCCTTTGTGGTGTAGGTGTAAACGCCTCCAAAGCTGTTGCTTGTAAAGTGGACGGCCCCACTACTTCAATTTGCTCCTCTAGGACTGGTGCGGCTTCCTCAACAACTACCGGGCTACTCTCTTCTTCTAGCTCACGCTCTTCTTCTGTAGGAGCCTGAGTAATGAGGAGAGTATGAGCGTAGAGACAAGGGTTTGAAAATTGACGATTCTTTGGGTTTTTTTATTTTAGCTGAAGTGATTTCAAACTTTTTTCATGGGAATCCGGGAAAATTAAAAACGCATCAACTATTGCATAGGATCATTGATAGATTATAATGGCTTATCCTATTGGCACTTATGACGAAACCGCATTCATTAATAAGTTGATATAGTTTCGAATCTACTTGTTTGTAAATCCTACTCTGAAGCGTTCTTCCAATCCTTGGATCTCCACGTTCATTTCGGCATGAGCCACATACCTGTCTCGGCTGATCTGACCTTTATTTCCTGAAATCAAAGACTTTAGTTAATTATTCAATTACTTCGAGTATCATATTAACGCATCAAATCAGCTTACCCCTACAATGGGTATGCCAAAATTTTTGATCTGCCGTGTAAGATCGCGGTAGATGCACAATTCTCCGTACGTTACTGGCTTACGTACAAGCCTCAGATCTATTCGTGGTACACCCATGTACTGAGTGATACCGCGTCCAAGCTGCTCCAATCTGCATTTTGAAATAAATCTTGCTCTGATCAGTGGCGTACTTTGTAGTGAACGTATTATTGCCATGAAGCGTGGATGAACTAACCTTGAAATCTATCGAATCTTTTTGAAGAACGTCACTATGTGCTCTTAGTAGATGTTCACTCATGCGATATTCCCCGTGTTTTCCACAAACGACGCAGATGTGCGCGGCTTCGCTCGTATGTTTCGGATAGAACATTCCTATAATTATGTATTATTACATCGTTTAAAAAATGTTTGACAATTGAGGCAACTGACCTTCAGGCATATGCTCCGGAAAAAATTTGATAATATGTTCTGCCTTCAGTCTTTCAAGATTTTCTCTTGCTGCATCGCCAATTCTAACAATTTTGTCATATTTTTTCGTTCTTCGGATACGCTCAGCCATTTTCTGGTATCTTGGTAAAGAATTCGTCAAACTGCAAGTTCTATAACTTTTGAATAGTACGAATTGAAAAACAATCACAAATGCGCTTGTGATTAGACATTTGAAAGGATGAAAATATACAGGGTGTCCCAAAAAAATGTGCCTACTGTTTGATTGTAAATAACTCTCTTGTAATGAAGTGTTTCGAGAAGCTTCAGGTACCATTTTATAGAGCGAGGTTAAACTTAGATTTATAGTATGGAGCTAATCATCTATCGCCCTTCATTACTGTAGGATTACGGTACGAACTTCGACAAGAATTTTGGGCCATTGGAGGCTACATTTTGACTCGGGACAAAACCAAACAAGCCAAAAACTCATATACTACGGTAATAAAAGCCGCTGTTTTTGAATTTGAAATTTCCAGCTCGCTGTGATGCTTCTTTCCAAAGTTATCCCGGGTAAACCGTCATAATTGAATTCCCAGTATTTGTCAGAAATGTGATTACACCGTCAAAAAAGCTGAAAACACTCGTAAGAAGCTGTTAGATGGAATCAGCATGCGCGAAAACCCTAGTACACGCTTTTTCAGATTTTTTGAAAAAAATTATGTTAGGCGGTATATTTCACAATTTTTCCATAGGCTGAAAGTTTGTACCGTAATCCTACAGTAATGAAGAGCGATAGATGATTCGCTCCATACTGTAAATGTAAGTTCAACTTCGCTCTTCAAAATAATACCTAAAGCGTCTCGAAATACTTCATTACAAGTGAGTTATTTACAATCAAACAGTAGGCACATTTTTTTGGGACACCCTGTATGAAAGTGTTTATAACACTTGATATCGTACATGGAAGATTTTTGCTTCCTCTATTTTTCAAAAAACTATGCATCTTTATTCATTATGCGATCGAGATTAAATGGGAACAATTTCGATAGGCTCCCTTCGAGCTTTTCTGAGCGATTCGACACTTCGTGTCCATCGCCTGAGCGATCTCAACTGTCGTTATTGATTGAATATAATCAAAGACAATAGTCCAAACACCAAACAGCCAAAAAATCGATCAATGCAAAAATTCCATGCATAGTATTCCTTGTAGCCAGAGGCTTGGAGATGTAGCCGTCATAGCTTTCAACATATGTCTCTAACGAAGAGTTTGATGACTAAAACCATTGATATTAAATGCAATCTGCATAACTGATCTTCACTTACCGGTAGTATAATGTTCAGTTCTAAAGTCATGTTTCCTGTTGCAACTCGTGCCGTCACCTCTATCGGCCCTAATTGAAGTAGCGCCCCGTTTGGTATCTCCACAACAGTGACAGGTTGAAGGACTGCAACTTCAATCCATTTGCTTTCATCCGTTTTCTTATACAGCATCCTCTTCCTTCGGGTAGCTATCACTGTGGTCCTCAACAGTGGCTCCACATGTGTAAACTAAGATGTTTGTATGACGTATAAAAAGTCAAAAGTTACTGTTCAAAAGCTCTTACCATTTCATCGCTAGAGTTACGTTTTGATACAGCACAGCCATGTCGTTTGTTACGGTCTAAAGCGCACGACTCACTTTGTAGTCTTGTCTTACAAAGGAGTGTCGACGATATTCCGGTGCAATCAGCATCGATATCTCCCACTTCTGCCAGCATACTAACATTGCTGACCTTTATCGACAATGGCACAATATAATATGTGCTCAATTCATGAGTCGCATACACTGCACCATCTTCACTAAACTTTCCTAAGGCTACCACGCGCATCAAATACCCCAGATCTTCTTCTCTTGTAGTTGGGTAGCAGATCTAAAAATGTGCGCTCAATATTTTGTTTTCACATAAGTTTGACGATTACTACTTGCTTTTACTACCATTACGTGCTTGTTCATAGAAAGTACAGTGGCTTTCAAGCTTTGGCCAGCAGCAAAGTATCTCTTCTTTAACATTGACGCGTTGAAACGTTTTTCACCCATATGCTTTGCGATGGCGGACAGTAGGTTGTTTTCACCGCGATGTTTGATAAGTCGGTTCGAGACACTGCGACGATCGAATAGTTCTGTGAGAGCACTCTCCACAGCCAAATTGAGCTGGGTTCTGACATGGGAGAACACGAAGTTGAACCGATTTCTAGAGAATAATGGCTATATAATAATTTCTACCTTGCTTACATTTGATGATATACGTTTGTGAATATATAAAACTTCTTATTCAATTTCGACTTACATGCTAGTCTGCAATTCCAATATCTCTGCCAAATTGTGTAACTTTGTTCTAATCGCTAGAAGATTCTCTGCTATTTTCTAAAAATATGCATTTGACTAGAGTAGCGAGAAAATAAATAATCAGATCACGTACACTTTGTTGCTGTTCCTCCTCTGTAAATCGGTGCAATAGGCTTGACACACTATCATACACGAATTTTCCTAATCCAATTCCTACTCCAAAGGCAATGACTCCGATCACGGGGAAAAACTCTAATTGCTCCGAGCTAAAATTTGGAAAATGTTTGTGTTCAAGCATAGGTTTTTTTCAAGTAACTGACTTGTAATGCGGCGTAGTACTCCTATAGTTCTCGAATGACTCGCGCATCTCTTGAATATGCGGTTTCAATGCTTGTTGCCTTAAGGTCGTATAAACCTGTGTAAACGATAAGTTTCGACATTTGAGATTACCGTCAACACATTTAGAACACTGTTAACAGCAGTTTTACCTTGGCACGTAAATCTCAATCTAGAGTGCTGTTGTCGTTCAAGGTTTCCTTGAACATTTTCAGCACTTCGTCAAACATTCTTCCATCTTTGTAGCTTCCATAATCTATGTGCGACATTAATATAGTATATCTACATAAGGATACAAAATTAAGATGTATAATTGTTTGCAATCTATGCGTGTTACAGAATAAGGCACTTTGCTGCGCCCTTTATTTCCAACCAAATTAGTTTTCCGGACTTTTTGTTAGCGTAAGCTACGACCGTTCAGGAAGACGGCCGCTTTTACCTTCTATTTCACGAATTCTTGCATTTTTTGTCTCGTCACGTCATAGATTAACGCACAGTGACAGGTCAACAATCTATTTGAGAAATAACAGTATGAAGATCAAGCATCTCTACGCGTTCAAAGTGATAAAATGTGGTGTCCAGTCCAATCTCAAGTCATTACTAAATATAAAAATGACAATCACATTTGGGAAAATCCTACAGTAAGCGTTTCATGATAATAATCTTTTTGAAGCAACATAAATGAACTTCTCAGCATAATTGTTGGTAGGCATACCTAATAAAACAGTGCCACATTCCCGCTCATGTTTAGCTGCGATTCCCTCTATTTCACCATGAAATCCATTTTCGTGAAACCTCTTTTGAGTGGCTTCGTCGAAATAAGGTAGTCCTGTAGTTGATGAGGTGTCCATGCTAGTGGCAAGAAATACGGGACGAGCTGCGTCGACGAGAAGTGCGAAGATGATAAATGTAGTTGAGTTAATAGAAAACATTTGTTATCTGAAAACAATCGTGTAAAAGTAAAGTAGACATAAAGGAGTCCTGTAAGAGATTTACAGTAAACTTTCGCAAGAAAATGCATCAAAATATACGAAGAAATCAGCATATGGAATAGGTATAGGTGATATTTTGTGAAATTTCCGTTCGCGCACGACTTGTTACAATCAAAGATATCAAAGATAGGTGCCAGAGTAAGCGAATATTTTGTTCAAGTTGGGGTCCCGCGGAACTGGCGTTACTAATCATTGTGGCACAACGTCAAGTTGGCATTATGCCACAATGATTAGTGATGCCAGTTCTGCGCGGGACCCCAACTTGAACAAAATATTCGCTTACTCTGGCACCTACCAAAAGAAACGATGAACGAGGTGTTGCGAAAAATAAGGTTTGAAACAACGATATACGCACGACACGACTGACACAAAATCACGAAGATAATGTCTGCTCTTAAACTGCTTCAAATTTTGTAACTGCAAGAGTACCTATACGTCGCACTGAAAAGTCAGATGGAGCATAGTGCACGAGGAGCACTTTACTACAACATCTTTTACAGTGGCTATCAACAACGCGCATGGTTTTAATGCTGATTACCAGCAATGTAACTACGCATCAATTCGCGTACTTACTGCGGTGATATTCATATGGTACTAGAAACGGTGATATAAAAAAGATTTGTAAAAAATTCCGCAGACTAGCCATACATACGAATGAATTCCATATTAGACTAACTTTCTCTTGAGTCAGTACGTATCAAAATCCTAGACTTAAGCTCTTGTGAAAAATACAGCTTTCTATCTCAATATGGAGAAAAACGAAAAGGACATATATGGGCTAAATTTTGCCGACGAATCCAATGGTGCCCTTGGCTTTTCGCTATCTTTACTCCATAAGCGACGTTTTGCCCCATATTCACAATGGGCCTCAGACTCAGCCGATAAGGCTGTTTCTTTTTGTACAGTGTTCAGGTCTTACACTGTTTGTGTAATCAAAATTTGGGCGCCTCAGCTTTCCAAAAACTCGAGATATGAAAAAGAAAAGAATTTATAGGGTTAAAAATTCCGGATTTTTAGCTTGGGAGTATGGAGTAAGCCGATGAGGTCCAAAAAATGGTGGATAGTAAGCAGTCAGCATAGTAGTATGCCTGCAAAATTTGAGCCTTCTAGCTTTATTTTGAACCGAGTTATGAGCTCGCCAAGTTTCGAGCAATACTCAGACACTGGGACCGGCCGAGCCGCGGCCCATTTCCGGCTGGAATTTCGCAGCGTCCGCGGACCAGCCGGTGAATGGTCCGCGGCTCAGCCGAAAAACGGCCTCGGCTCAGCCGGAAAACGGCCGCGGCTCAGCCGGAGCTGGTTGTCGGGCCATATAGTTCATTCTAGCTCGGATACAAAACGACTGTTTTTTTTATTCACTGGCACGTAAAATATACGCTGTGAAAAACAAAAATTGAGGCCACAGACATGGCCGCTTCGGAAAACGTGTCCGGCTTCAAAACTGGACAACACAGAGTGCTATCCAGGTGTTGTACAACATATTCAAGTGTTGTACAACATATTGGTCTTGTTCCTGCCTTGGAGACTGGAAAGACAACGGAGCCTATGGACACTGAGGGCAGCCTAAGCATGCGTCGTACATCACGCAAGTGTTCTTTACGCTCAGATACTAGGACCGGCCGAGCCGAAAATGGGCCGCGGCTCAGCCGGTGTTTCGTAACAGAGATTTTGGTCCGCGGCTCAGCCGGTGCAATCATATCGACATGAATTAAGGTCCGCGGCTGGGCCGGTAAGCCATATTCGGTCCGCGGCTGGGCCGGTAAGCCATATTCAGTCCGCGGATCAGCCGGTGCAATCATATCGACATGAATTAAGGTCCGCGGCTGGGCCGGTCTTCGGCCACGCCCCCAAATTAAGGCCGCGGACGGGCCGGAAAGGCCTTTTGAGGCCGCGGCTCAGCCGGTCCCAGTGTCTGAGTATATGGTACTGTCGATAAGGCTGTTTCTTTTTGTGCAGTGTTCAGGTCTTACACTGTTTGTGTAGTCAAAATTTGGGCGCCTCAGCTTTCCAAGAACTCGAGATATGAAAAAGAAAAGAATTTATAGGGTTAAAAATCCCGGATTTTTAGCTCGGGGGTATGGAGTGAGCCGATGAGGTCAAAAAAGCTGTAGATAGTAAGATGTCAGCATGGTAGTATGCCGGCAAAATTTGAGCCCTCTAGCTTTATTTTGAACCAAGTTATGAGTTCGCTAGTATCCACTCGAGACAATGAGCTGAGAAATGCTGAGAATTTTTGATTTTTGGTCAAATGAGCGAACTTCAGTGCCACTCTTCAAGGTGTGCCTTTTGTCGAATATTGAATATGTTGTAGCTTTGACGAAGGTATTCGAACCAACCTGTACTCTTTTGACTCGTGCTTCCGCTGTCTCTTCACAAAACGCACTTTACGGTAAGTGTAAATAGCCACAATATCGTAGTTGAAGAATAGCAGCTTGTCCATAGTATCATATCACATTAAGAAGCTCAGTGTGAGCCGCATGCGTCATGCAAATGTGCACATAAATTATTTGGGTGACAAGGAAAAACTGGTAAGTTTCGGTGCTTGATCAGCCACACGTTGCTGAATAAAGCTGGTAATCGTATGTAGCACTTATGAGCAAGCTCGTCCCAACAACTTTTTCATTTTTTATCAGCTTGATCCCAACTAAGCGAAACACACAATTTCGAAATGTTAATTTTGCATAGGAACAGGCATTTTCAGAAATCTGCAACTCAGCAAGATCATACCTAGAAGGGCCAAATTGGAAGAAAATGCTAATATTCTGTGTGTAGAATACAAAATATGGTATATGGGCCTGAGCTAGGCTAATTTTAGCCTACAATTCGCAGCCAAGTTTTCGTAATTCTGCATAGAAACAGGTATTTTCAAAAATCTGCAACTCAGCAAAATCACATTCTAGAAGGGCTTGAACTCAACGGTAGTATTTCCAAATAGAATACAGAGTAAGAATAGCATGAATGAACAAGTTGAGGCTATTATGAAATTGAACAAGACCACTCTTAGGAGAATGCAGCAGCGATTTCATTAATTACGGAGATGATGGAAACAGTCGAATTTTGATGATTCGAGAGAAACATTTATAGAGATAGTCGAGTAAGTTTCTATAAAGCAATGGCACGTTGGTATCTTTGCGATGTCTATGATAGCATGTACATGACCTACAGCATCTTCAAAGTATACACCGCCGGCAGCACTATCAATCAGTCCAATCCTCGATATCCTCAGAAATCCGCAACTCAGCAAGATCATACCCTAAAAGGGCCACATTGGAACAAAATGGTAATATTTTGGATGTAGAATACAAAATATGGTATTTGGGCTTGATACAGGCTAATTTTAGCCTAGAATCCACAGCCAAAGTTTCGTAATTTTGCATAGAAACGGGCATCTTCAAAAATCTGCAACTCAGCAAGACCATACCTTAGAAAGGCCAAATTGGAAGAAAATGGTAGTATTTTGGATGTAGAATACAAATATGGTGTTTGGGCCTGAGCTAGGCTAATTTTAGCCCACAATTCGCAGCCAAAATTTCGTAATTTTGCATAGAAACGGGCATCTTCAAAAATCTGGAACTCATCAAAATCACATTCTAGAAAGGCCAAATTGGAAGAATATGGTAGTATTTTGGATGTAGAATACAAAATATGGTATTTGGGCCTGAGCCAGGCTAACTTTAGCCTACAATTCACAGCCAAAATTTCGTAATTTTGCCTAGAAACGGGCATCTTCAAAAATCTGGAACTCATCAAAATCACATTCTAGAAAGGCCAAATTGGAAGAAAATGGTAGTATTTTGGAATTAGAATACAAAATATGGTATTTGGGCTTGATACAGGCTAATTTTAGCCTAGAATCCACAGCCAAAGTTTCGTAATTTTGCATAGAAACGGGCATCTTCAAAAATCTGCAACTCAGCAAGACCATACCTTAGAAAGGCCAAATTGGAAGAAAATGGTAGTATTTTGGATGTAGAATACAAATATGGTGTTTGGGCCTGACCTAGGCTAATTTTAGCCCACAATTCGCAGCCAAAATTTCGTAATTTTGCATAGAAACGGGCATCTTCAAAAATCTGGAACTCATCAAAATCACATTCTAGAAAGGCCAAATTGGAAGAATATGGTAGTATTTTGGATGTAGAATACAAAATATGGTATTTGGGCCTGAGCCAGACTAACTTTAGCCTACAATTCACAGCCAAAGTTTCGTAATTTGGCATAGAAACGGGCATCTTCAAAAATCTGCAACTCAGCAAGACCATACCTTAGAAAGGCCAAATTGGAAGAAAATGGTAGTATTTTGGATGTAGAATACAAAATATGGTATTTGGGCCTGAGCCAGACTAACTTTAGCCTACAATTCACAGCCAAAGTTTCGTAATTTTGCATAGAAACGGGCATCTTCAAAAATCTGGAACTCATCAAAATCACATTCTAGAAAGGCCAAATTGGAAGAAAATGGTAGTATTTTGGATGTAGAATACAAAATATGGTATTTGGGCCTGAGCCAGGCTAACTTTAGCCTACAATTCACAGCCAAAGTTTCATAATTTTGCATAGAAACGGGCATGTTCAAAAATCTGCAACTCAGCAAGATCATACCCTAAAAGGGCCACATTGGAATAAAATGGTAATATTTTGGATGTAGAATACAAAATATGGTATTTGGGCTTGATACAGGCTAATTTTAGCCTAGAATCCACAGCCAAAGTTTCGTAATTTTGCATAGAAACGGGCATCTTCAAAAATCTGCAACTCAGCAAGACCATACCTTAGAAAGGCCAAATTGGAAGAAAATGGTAGTATTTTGGATGTAGAATACAAATATGGTGTTTGGGCCTGACCTAGGCTAATTTTAG